TTATCCACTGCCTTATCTGCCAATATTTTATGAAAATAAATTCAGTATTTCCATTGAAATTGTCTCTTTTCAAATTTTATCTTCAATTTTTATCTCAAACCTAACTGTATTGCTCCTTCATCTGCTGAAAGGTTTTGGCTCATTGTCTGGAGTGTCATCCAAAGCATGTGCATTCCACTCTAGCCATGTGAGGTGGCAGATCTTAAATCTATCTCAGCTGCAATGGACATGAAAACTGTGCTGTTAATGTTACTCTGAACGATATGTTAGTTGTCCAAATGACTAAGCTTACTGGCCCACTGCCTAATTATCTTACGGTTATTAATTCCTAGATGCTCATCATTCCTTTATATTATCAACTTTTCTAATTAATTTCCTAGAACTAGATCTATCATTGCCTCCTTTCTTGTTGGACTACAAACATATTGCAGTCTGAGATAATTCCCCATCTTTGCTACTTATGTTATTTGAGTGCAATCCTTCTATGCATGCATATGGTTGTTCCTTGGAATGAGGATGATACTTGCACATGGAAAGAACTCATGTGTGGGGTTGTTTCACATGAGAGCGTATTGTTTTGCTGTTACTACATGGTTACAGCAGAACAGAAAACACTCCTGCCTGCCATAGGCTTATAGGAAGGATTAATACACTACTGATCAATATGTTTAAAGACAACTGCTTTTAGCATGACAAATCCTGTCTGGCCAATTACCTGCCTGTCATATGAACATACAAATTAGAAGCAACAGTCGGCCACCCAGCTTCTCGAGCCTGCTCTGCCATTCAGTAAGGTCATGGCTTATTCCACATTCCTGTCTGCCCTGATCATTCCTTGCTTATCTGCCTTAAAATATTCAAAGACTCTGCTTCCACCATTTTGTGGAAAAGAGTTCTAAAGACTTATGACCTGCTGGTGAGGTAAAAATGTCATTCTTATCTCTATATTATGTTTAAACAGTGAACCCTAGTTATAGATTCTTCCAAAAGAAGAAGCTTTCCGTGTGCACTCTGATGTACTGAAAATACTTGACAGAAAGGGTTTACCAGACCAATACCTGGAATGAGTAAGTCATCTTATGAGGAGTTGAACAGGCTCATATCTGCTGGAGTAGAGAGTAAGTGGTGACTTGATTGAAACATATAAGATTCTGAGGGGCCTTAACAGGGTGCACGTGGAAAGCTTTCTTCTTCTTGTAGAAGAATCTAGAATGAGGAGTCACTGTTAACCAAAAGATGACAGGCATATGGAGAAAAAAGATGACAGGTCATATGAAATTGGGCCAAAGTTTAGATATGATCTCATCAAATGGTAGAACAGATTTGAGCAGCTGAATGACCTATGCCTGTTCCTGTGAGCAGAATCTTTTGAGTTAGGCAGGTGTTTAGTGTACTGCCTGCAAAAGGTCCTAAACGCCTTCATTTGACTCTTAGCAATAAGGCTACTGCATCTTGTGATCATCAGGTGCTTGAGTCAACAGTGGCAGGTCTTCCTCCCGGCTGAAGATCCTGTGATAAAATGTCATGGCTGACTCAGCAACTGGCCGCTCAAGCCAACAGTTCTCATGGCACTGCCAAGTTCTGGGAGACCTGTGGGATCTCAGGTGGAGGAACAACAAGGGACAAAGGTAGACATTGTTTTAGCATGGTCCCACATGATGGGTTCATAGTAGGAGGGGCACCATACAGATAAGAGATCACTCTGTTGCCTCACCTTAGTGCCCATTCAAGGTCATGGGCATTAGTAGTGCAGATTGAGGGCTGCATTATTTATCCTGTCCAGAGCCGTGATAATTCTGGGGAGGTGATAACCTAGAAGTGTTATAGGAACATGTGAACCTTGAGTCTGTTCCACTGTGTGATGAGATCATAGTTGATCTGTGGTATAGATACTGCCTTTGGACCATATTCCTTAATACCTTTTGTTAACAAATACTTATGTCAAATTTAAAACTAACAACTAACTACCTATTATCACTAGACTATTAATCCAGAGACCAAGGTAATGTTTTGGGGACTCAGTTTTGAATCCCACCATCAACAGCACAGATTTCATGTCCATAGTAGAATGGTAGAATGTGAATATAACAAAAATTGAGTCTAACGATAGCTTATTATCAGAAAAAAAATACATCTGGTTCACTAATGTCCTTTTAAGGAAGGAAACTGCCGTCTTTCCCTGATCTGGCCTATATGTGACTCCAGACCTACATGAGTGTGGTTGATTCTCAATTGCCTTCAGGGTGATTAGGGATGGGTAATGAATGCTGGCCTAGTGAGCGATGTCCTCATACCATGAATGAATTTTTAAAAATTACAACCCAATTTTGTAGCGATTGTAATGAGGTCAGTCAGGTGGATCTCATAGAATATGAGTTCCCTGATTGGGACTGTTAATCTGGTACAATCAGGAAACTCTAGCTGACAGATAAAAACAGTGTCAGACATCCTGTTCGCTCAGAGCTGGATCAGTGTCAAGGACTTTCCATGTACAAATAAAAGGTGACCTAGTGACAGGATATTGGCCTCTGTGGAGTTGTTACACAATTAATGATCATTAGTTGACCATTTAAAGGCCTTGAGTGAAGGCTGGACAGGAAGATAGGCCATAGGCCTTCCTGCCTGGAGGTTACTTGGGATAGAGGTGGAAAGGCTTTGGGTGTCTGTCCTGAGAACAACCCACTTAATTTTCCAGGCTTCTTGCTTCTTTCTTTGCCTCTTTGGGCCTGGAAGATTCTGCTCTGCATTCCTACTGTTGTTGAATAAAGTTTAGCAAATGGTGGAATCTCATTCTATATTTATTTTGACAGATGTGAGGAGGGAAAGATTATCTTGGTAAGGGATAAAGAGTGATTTACATTCGTGCTTCTGAAATTTCTCCAAATATTTCATACACAATCACTTCCTATGAAGCAGAATATCTGCAATGATAATGTTAATTTATTAAAAGCTGTTGATGTAGATGTAATGACTAAGTTTTTAATTGTTATGTAGGCAAATTCAGCAGCCATTTCACACAGATAAGGATCCCTCAAACACCAATCAGATGAAGAGCTACTTAGTGGCTTGTAATTTCCTTCATTTGACTCATGCTGCAATTATGCTGAGGTCGAAGAAATCAACCTATGCCAACATTTTCTCAGAAATCTCACTCGCATTATTTTAAAATGGTGAAATTTAGGTGGAAAGCAGTGTGATTGTTTCTCAAGAAAAAATGCAGAATATAGGTGCCTTTTATTCTTTACGTTCCTGCCTTATCTTACTAGTGTGATGAAAATTAAAGTTTGAAACTATCACAATCACTTAAGCACATTTTAAGCACTGCGTGTCTAAGAAAATGCAATAGTGTAATATTCTTCTTAATGTTACAGATTCTGAAGTTAAACATTCTGAATAAAAAACATTCCAATGTATACAACATGCAGTGCAGGTCTCAGTATGGAGAAATAAAAAAAACAATAAAACACTAGAAAATGTGACTGAATCTTGTTGCATGTATACCTTTGGGAGAAATTTATGCTCATTCAGAAAAACTGCATTCTCTGGACATTTGAACAGGATTATCCATGTTCATGAGTTAACTGGGACTTTGGCACATGCAACTAAGGCACAAGTAATCATTGAAAAACTAGGATAAATCAGTAACATGCAGATTTTCAAGATACAGCTTGTAAGTAGAGTGGCTTCATGGTGTATTTATGACAAATCTTTCCAGGAAATTCCTGGCCAGTTTGTTAGTTATTGATGTTAGAGTCCCACAAAATGAAGGTATCAAACTTCTTCAAATATTTTACTGTAATTTTGCCTTTATTTAAAGAATTACTAATGCAGATTTTACTGTGTATTCCTTCTCCCATCCCACATGCCAACCAGACTTTCTGTTTCAATCAGAAGAATAGGACAGGCTGAGTCTCTAACACTCAATGGATCCTGACATCGTTGCTGCAGTATTATTAGAACTTGTACAACCTTTGTTCACTCTAGGGAATCTAACTTTAAAATATCCTTGTATCAAAGCCTGTCCTTTTTTTGGCATTGTTTAGAATAACCAAACAAGACAAAACAGAAATAAATTTCTCACTTTCTTACAAGAGCATAGGACACATTTAATTCAGAATTGGCACCAGATTTTAGAAGCAGAAATATTTTTGGTTTAGTGTTTTCTGCCACATATATTGGACTTGCAGACTGAATGAAAGTATAACCCGAGGCTATTTTTATCTATGGCATATAGGAATCTCAGTTCAAATATTGGCAATTCAATTACATATTTATGAGGATTGAACAGCGCATGTTTAGAAGTTGAGTGACATTGTGAATTGAACCCTCAGAGATATGGATCCAAGTACACTCTGGTAATGAAAATTACTTCATTAAATATCACAAGTTAAATGAGTTTAGTTGATCTTGATTAAGTCTTTAGCTTCTAGGCCGCGGAACAATTTGAATCCACAATGTACTATTTTTCAGCTGTTTCCTTCTTAAAACATGACTGCTTAGATTTAGATATTAAGCTGATTTTTGAATTGCTGGGTTGCTTTAGCTTATAATAATTCTATGCTTTCTTTTACCATTGACATTCAAAATTGATGAACTCATTAAGAAATTATAGATAAAAGCAAAACAAAGAGCTGGAGAAATGCAACATGTTTGGCAGCATCCGAGAGAAACAATGTGACTCTGCTTCTGATGTTTTAATGAACAATTTTTGTTATTGCATACTTTAATGAAAAACATTATCTGGGAATTTTCCAACCTCATGTTCTTCTGTGATGATCGTGTGCATATTTTAACCATTTTTAAAGACAAACAAGTCGCAAAGTAGATAGCAAAACATCTGTTTTAGATGTCAAAGGTCAATGAGAAATAATGATGTTTCATATTTTTGCATACAAAATTAAGTTAAAAGGGGAGGACACTTATTATCCTGGGTATTTTTGATAAATACTCGAAGATTCCAGGAGCAAATTGATTAATGAGTGTTTCTAATTGCTTTGCAGGATATGGCCATGCAGCTCCAGACACTGACGCAGGTAAAGCTTTTTGCATGTTTTATGCCGTGCTCGGAATACCACTGACCCTAGTCATGTTCCAGAGTCTGGGAGAACGGATGAACACATTTGTCAAATACCTTTTGAAAAGAATAAAGAAATGCCTCGGCATGAAAAGCACAGATGTGTCGATGGAGAACATGGTGACCGTGGGATTCTTCTCTTGCATGGGCACCCTTTGCATTGGAGCAGCTGCCTTTGCACATTATGAAGACTGGAACTTCTTTCATGCGTATTACTACTGCTTTATTACATTGACTACAATAGGGTTTGGAGACTTTGTAGCCCTCCAGAAAGATAAGGCTCTGCAGAAAAGACCACTGTATGTGGCCTTTAGCTTTATGTATATTTTAGTAGGTTTGACGGTTATTGGAGCATTCCTCAACCTGGTGGTTCTCAGGTTTTTGACCATGAACAGTGAAGATGAGCGACGGGATGCTGAAGAGAGAGCTTCTTTGGCAGGGAATAGGAACAGCATGATCATTCACATCCAGGAGGATTCCCAACAGGGCCGTCAGCGGTACAAAACCGAGGTGACAGATCTGCAGTCTGTTTGCTCCTGCATGTGCTACAGGTCCCACGAGTACACCAATCAGGTGGTATCTCACCAGAATTCATTCAGCTCCCAACTTAATCCCCAGTACTTTCACTCAGTATCTTACAAGATAGAAGAGATTTCACCAAGCACATTGAAAAACAGTCTGTTCCCATCTCCTGTGAGCTCTGTGTCACCGGGTTTACATAGCTTCAATGAGAACCACAGGCTCATGAGAAGGAGAAAGTCTATTTGAAATATTTCTATTTTGATTTGTTTTTGAGCGTGCTGGAGAAGATGAGGAAAATACAGTAACCTTTCTCTGGGACTCAGAAACCAAGCATGAAGCATGGTTAATAAAAGCTCTACATCAGCAACAATATGCCTTATCGACGGCAGATGGAATTTTAGGAACAAGCAAAATGCTGGGCATCTATTGGAACTACTTCAGCAAGGGGACTGGTAATATTGACATTATTCTGCTTGGAAGTGATTGTAAACTGTTAGAATGAGGAAGTTTTATTGGTGAAAGTGGGGATGTGTGTGGCATACAATGCATCAGGTATTAATTTTTTAAAACCATTTAACTGAGTTTCAGATTTGACAAACAGACGAACCCAAAATTGCCAAGATAGCATGCGCATTAGTAAATGAAGCAGTTGGTATACTGGATGTGCCATTGTATTTTCAACAGCTGGCTCTTTATTACTGGATTGTAAAATGCTGAAAGATAATTTTAGCATGCCAGTTTAAATGCATGCGCTTTGTACAACTGGTATGCGTTATAACTTACCTGAGAACACAAATTAATTAGCAATGAAATTAATAAAACAATTCATATTTATTGATTTATGAATAGTATTTATGCTTTTGCAGCAATTCCAGCCATTTGTTCTTTCTTGGCTTCTGTGATTATTTTGACAGAGGGAAGAGGAGTAAAAATGAATGGTTGGAGTTGCATTTAATAACTTTAGTGCAGTTATGATTGGCATGAAATGGAATTAGTTTTTGAATGCCTGAATAGGGACAATAAGTTTAGAAAATCAGCAACAAAAAAGATTTTCCTCTTCAGAAGGTCTAACAGTTTAAGTGATTTTAACTGTTATTTCCAAAAACCAATTTTTTTTTGCTGTTGTATGACATAATTCAAGTGATAGGAAGCTGTAACAAAATGTTTACAACTCAAGGAAGCTTTTATGCTCATGTACAAAATGTAATTAATGGGGTTGCTTCTTTTTTTGTAATGATTGCACTAACATGTATATATTTTACATTGTCTTTACAATTACTGCAGTGTTGTAAAATAATGCACTTTTCTATTTTTTTCATTAAAATATGGCACGTTTCAAAATGTACATTGTTGCTTTTATAACGAATGTACATGGTTAAGGGAAATCATGTAAATTTGTACCACAGAAGCTAACTTCAGTGGTCGTATTTTGTACAAAAGTACAGACATCTATAGAGATTTATGAATACATAATATATTCAAATTTGAATGAAAATGTACAGAGAAGATTTAACGGATGAATTTAAGTATAAAGAGATGTTATAAATGCCAAATATTTTGCATGCAATAAAAATTACATTTTTGACAACTCTTATGTGCAAAGTGACATTCACAACATTTTCCAAATCAGATTTACAGTTAAGTAAAAAATTACTTACAATGCTGGACAAATAAACATGCTGGTTACAAATAACACATTTCCCATCCTGCACTTTCCCTTCTATACAATACAATAGCAGCATTGGTGCCACCAAATGAAACTAGTCTAGGGAGTTGGATTTTTAAAATTATTAATGGGTTAAATAATGTTTTTGATTAATTTTTTAACTATGGGGGACTTGTGACAGCTGGTTTTAGGGAAATATCTGCATCTCCTTCCCAATCTGAGTGCAATAATGTAATACAATCAATGCAGGCCTCACCGGTGAAGTCAAAGTTAGCTTCACTCACACAAAGGATAGACTGCACTTTCTAAGCTTATTGTAACATACAGTACCATAGACTGTCATGCACTTGCAGTTTATAGAAATTTCCTGAACAAATCAAGCTGCATTTCTTAATTTAATCAGTCATTGTGTGAAACAAATCTTTGTAGTACAAAAGATATAAAATGATGAACTTCAGAGTACTATAAGTCTTTCTACCATTATTTACTGCTCTCTGTGCTTCAATAAATAAACTCTATATCATTCCTTTGATGGCCCAATGTATAGCTGAGCCATACAGGACTAGATTCTTTAGATCATTCTGAAAAATTAAGAAACATTATACACAATTCGATCTCTTATTTCCATCACTCATTTCCTTCACTAGTAACTGTTCAAATAAGTTAAAATGTACCACAGCCCGTCTATTTCATTCATTCCCTATCCTATGTGTAAAATAATTGAATTTACAAATTCTCTTAATCTTTCCCATTTTGAGCTAATTTGTTTTGGTATTTGTGATGTTAGTGGGTGAATACTTAATACATTCTTCTGTCTATTATTCTAATGGAGGCATTAAACAGTGAAATTGAATGTGTTAACATCTCTGTTAAAATATCCTGATAGCAAACACTTATCACTAATCAATCTCTCTGGTGTTGCCCAATAAGAAGATGGAATGGGCAATGCGAGGATGCTCAGCCCAAGGACTGTCTTCAGTGTTGTGAAGATAGAGGACAGGGAGAGTTGGACTGACATATACTGAAGTATGATTTTTATTAAGATACATCGCTCTGAATTGCCACAGACTCTTACTTAATTACCATAACTTCATTGAAGGTGGGTTTATGCAAATTACAATTGAGGTCTCAACAACACAGCAACACAATGACAAAGTCTGCAGAAAGTCAGGGCCACATTACATGGAGTGTATACATATTGTGTTCATTTTGAATTCTTGCATTCTGTTTGTATTTTAAAATTATGCTGTGATTTGACATTTAAATAACAATTCTAGGCAGTTTGAGATGGAGAGCTAGTGTTTTTTATTTGTTCATGGGAGATGGGTGTCTTTGGCTATGCCGGCCCTAATTGCCCAAAGAGCAGTTGAGACTCAATCACATTATTGTGGATTTGGAGTCACATATAGGTTAGACCAGGTAAGGACAGAAGTTTCCTCCCCTAAGGGACATTAGTGAACCAGACAGGCTTTTCCTGACAATTGATAATGCTTTAATGGTCATTATTAGGCTTTTAATTCCAGATTTTTATTGAATTCAAATTCCACCCATTTTCCATGGTGGGATTCAAGCCCCAGCATCCAGAACATTACCTGGATCTCTAGATTACTAGTGATATTACCACTAGGCCATTGCCCCAGAAAAGGTGATGGTGAGCTGCCTTCTTAAACCACTGCAGTTCTTGGGGTATAGGAACATTCACAGCGATGTTAGGAAGGGAATTCCAGGATTTTGACCCAGCTACAGTGAAGGAATGCTGCTTTGTCCTTCTGGGTGATGGAGGTTGCTGGTTTGGGAGGAGTCTTGGTCAATTACTGTCGTGTATCTCATGGATGGTACACTGCTGCCATTGTACACTATTGCTTGACTAGTCTGTCAGGTAGCTCTTCCAGTTTTATAATGGAGGCCAGAAATCTGTCCTGAGGAGTAAAACTTGACTTGATGGGAAGGTCAAGCAAGGAAGGGGAAGGCTGAAATATTGTACAGTCTGTGAGAGGGGATGACTGTTGTGACAGATGATGGAAATTTTCTGGAGAAGAGATCAGGAGTGGCTGGATGGGAAGGAAGCCAAAGTGACTGGGCTATTAACAATGCATCTGTAGTATCTACTTTAGATAAGAGGGAAAGCAATCATTGCAGTATCTTGCAAAAGGGTACTCTCATAGAATTATATAGAACAGAAGTGGCCCTTCAGCCCTTTGGGTCAGCACAAACAAAAGAAACTACTCTAAGACTACTCTAAACTATGACACTAGTTTCCCTTTCCAGCACTTGGTGCATAACCCTGAATGCTATGACACTTCAAGTGCTCATCCAAGTACTTTTTATAAGTTGGGATGATTCCTGCTTCAACTACTATCCCAAGCAATTGTCCATATGCCTTCTTAATGACCATATTAACCTGTCCTGCATCCTTGAGGGATCTGTGACAAACACACAAGATTGCTCTGTTCCTCTGAGCTTCGAAGTGTCTTGCTATTCAATGAGTACTCCATTGTTTTGCTAGTTCTTCCAAAGTGCATCAGCTCACACTTACCAGAGTCAACTCCATCTTATACAGATCTGGCCATCTGACTAATATGTCCTCCTGTAACCTAAGACCTTATTTCTCACTGCCAACCACCTAGCCAATCTTTGTGTCATCCACAAATTTACTGACTGTCCCTTGCAAATTTGCTTCTGTATCATTTATATATCATGAGCAATAAATGACCGAGCACATCCCTGTGGTATGCAACTAAATACTGGCCTTCAGCCTCCTAAGCTATTTTTCATCCAACTTGCCAAGTTACACTCATGGAACTGTGTTCTCACCAATTCCATTTTGAATGCCGCCACTGCCCACTGTTCTGCTGTGATTTACCCAGAAGTAGCTGTTCCCAGTCTGCTTTGGCTAGATCCTGACTTATTTTAATAAAATCTGCTTTTCCCCAATCCAAAATCCTCTTTTACCTTCTTTATCAGTCTCCCATGTGAGACTTTGACGAAAAGGCCTATAAACCGAATCAACAGTACAAACCTCATTGACATATCTGATCATCTCCTTGAAAATTCAATCAAATTTGTTCGGCATGACATCACTCCAACAAAACCATGCTGACTACCTTTGATCAAACCTTGCCTCTCCAAATGGAGATTAATTATTTCCTTAATAGTTTCCCAACCACTGACATGGGACTGATTGGTGTGTAATTCCCTAGTTTATCGTGTCCAGACTTCGAGAAGTGGGACCACATTAGCTGTCTTTCAGTCCTTGGGCACTTTCCCTGTGACCAGAGAAGAATTTAAAATTTGAGTCAGGGCTCCTGCAATTTTCTCCCTCAGCTCCCACAGCAGCCTAGTATACAAATTGCCAAAGTTCCAATAACGCCTCACTCCCTATGCCCACTTGCTCAAGAAAATCACAATCCCTTTTTTCGAATTCTGTAGTTACACCTTCCTTCTCCAAAGTAAAGACAGATGTGAAGTGCTTGTTTGAAACCTTACCAAAGTCCTCTGGCTCCATGCACAGATTGACCCCTTGGTCCCTAATAGGCCCTATTTCCCTGGTTATCCTCTTTCCCTTAATATACTTATAGAATATCTTGGAATTCATGGCCCCTCTTTGCTCACGTAATTGCTTTCTTAAGTTCTCCCCTGCACTTTCTGTACTCCACCACAGTCTTCGTTGCTTTGCTCCCTTTGCACCTGTTACAGTTTCTCCTTTTCCAGTTCTAAATATTCATAGATATCGGGAATTGTTTGGGCTTTTTGCTCCAACATTTCACCCTAAAGGGAACATGATGGAACTGTGTTCTCACCAATTCCATTTTGAATGCTGCCACTGCCCACTGTTCTGCTGTGATTTACCCAGAAGCGTCTGTTCCCAGTCTGCTTCAGCTAGATCCTGACTTATTTTAATAAAATCTGCCTTCCCCCAATCCAAAATGCTCTTTTGCAAACCACTTTTATCCTTGAGTCTAAATATTTATTTAAGAACATTCTTACTATTATCGATATAGCGACCTTCTTGATGCAATTGACAAATCAGCTTCTCTTTATATTATTTGGGTGTATTTTATGCCTGATATTTTCCAACAGAAAATTAAAAATACTAAAGATGTTTGGGGCATTGAACTTCCGTCTGATAAATTTTACTTTCCTGTCATGACGGCACAGCCTGACAGGAAATTTGGGATACAATTGATCAGAAGTCTACAGTTCCCATGGAATATTTTATCAATGCTCTGTACAAATTCATTGTGATATTCTGGTATTAATGATTTATTCCTCTGGATTTCTATCCAAAATTATACTTGTGCAGCAGCAGTAAATCAGCAATATGCTAATGTTTCATCTAGTGCCTCCAGATTCAGTTCTTGCTTTTTCCTGTAGATTGCTACTGTTAAGTTTATACTCTTTCCACTAGATGTGTATGTTCAATATGCTAGCCACTGGGTTGACAGCACAATGTCAATGTAATGCATTCGAGTTCAAAAATCACATTTTACATAT